TGGAGATTGGCCAAAGATAATTGAGAGGAGCCAGTTGCAGCATGCTGGAGGTCTGCCAATGGCACTGGTACGATTGGTGCTGGCCTCGTAGGGACAAAGTCTACAAATATCCCAGCAAGAGGCTGCTTAGCTGACCAGCTAACTAACGGATTTTCTGAGTGACATCGCGATGCAAGAACGCTCCCCTTCTCTCCAGAAGATTCTTTATCCTGATCAGTACCAGCCTGAAATGTACAAGATCCAATTGTTTCCTTGGGCATTAAAGCCAAATTAGGAGGTTCATTCGTTTCAGATGGACTAGGCATGTTGATTAGCTTCAGAGATCCCTGTTCAGAAGGCGAAAGTTTCATGCCAAGTCGATTCGCTATCATACAAGTCCCTTCCACCTTCTGGGGACTGGCTAATTCGCTCGAGTCTGGGCCTGGTCTATCTGAAGGGCTGGAGTTGAGGAAGTTTGCTTTCAGTGTAGAAGCCTTTGGTATCGTAATGTCGAACAAGTTTGGGGTTCCCTTTTGTGAAGACTTGAACTTCTCTAGCGGCTTTTCTAAGACGAAGCTTGAAGGCTCGTAATCGGAGGATAAAGAAGGCTCTGATAAAATCACAATTAAAAAGAAATATGGACAAGGAAATTGAAGAGAAATGGGGCATAGACAACCAATTACTTTATCTAATAGCATATGTGTTGTCAAATAAAATATAAAATAGCCTTATTAATATTTAGCATACCAAAAAAAGACACGATGTTTCTCAAATTTCTACAGTAGAGTAAAGAATGTAAGAAAAGGAGACAGGAACAATAAGATTGGAATATCACCTAATTTAGTAGCATGACAGACCTAGATGGCTCCTGGCAATCTTCAAAATGCGTCACCCGTATTTCGGGGATCGCCTTACGACGGAATATTAATAGTACTATTGCTTGACATTGAGCTATCCCTTTTTATAGTTTAAAGCACTTTCGAAAAAGTAGCATACAATTGGATACAATTTTTGGTGCGTTAAAACCTGAATATATGCTAACTTAAACAAGATTAATCGATGATATGCAGACCAAGATGATGTGGTCTTTTGTACGGTCGCAGTCTCCTTTCGTTGTATAGAAGTTGTTTGACCTTGTTTTCGCAACTTGGTCATATTGGTAGG